ACCTGTTGAGCAGGATGTGCGAATACTGGGTATCGTTGTCGTGACAATGTGGGTAGTCGAAGTCACTACGCACATTTTGTTTGATAATAATTGGAGAAAGAGTTTTGTCACCTAAATTAATGGACAGTATGCAGATGATCTGTGGAAACTTTCATGTTGGGTGGTCAGATATAGCAGGACAATCCGCAGTAATGTAGGTTGTGGAGTGAAGTAGATTTCCAGTTCATGTCTACTTCGGTGAAAGAGGATACATGAGAGTGTTAGCTGGAAAGGCAAGTCAAATAGTTTGAAGGAGTTTTGAAGCTGTGCTGACGTGAGAACTTTTCAAATAAGCTTGGATACTTACTGCTGTGTAAAACCATGGATAGTTTCGTGCAAGTCACTTTGTGCAATGCGTCAAAAGTGGTGTTAGTGTTTGTTTCCTTTGTCTTTGGGTAACGCAGACTGACCTAGTGACATTCCTCATCCAACGCAGTCGTGGCAAATTCCGTTTGGCCAACTATCTCTATTGGTTCCTCCAATTAGAGGCGCACGATGAGACCCCCTCTAGTCCTGAGGTGAAGATGATGTTCACTCACGTGCTCAAACGCTTCATGGCTGCACTGGAATGCGTGAGTTGACTGTCGTGCTGATGTGACGAATGCAACCTCCCATGACGGGTGGGTGGTTGTGGACATGTCTGAAAGCCTTTGATACACTTTTGTGCCTTTGGCATTAAACAACCCCTAGTTCAATTTCTCAGTACGTTTTAGCACGCTTGATTTTGCGGTTTAATCTGGTCTTTACAGGGTTCCGACGAACATAGGTCTTGGCACTTAGACTTGCTAAACCAAACTAAGTTCGTGAATGGACTGTATGGACTCCTGAAGACGGTGCATGAGGACTCTTCGAAAAGGCTGAGAAAGGTGAGGGAACAAAGTGCGAGATGCTTGCTTCTTATTTTGACAGTTCCTTAGCGAAACGATTGCCGCCCTATATCTTGGATTTCTGATGAAATTCTCATTTTTCTAATCAACATTTTGTCTAAGCTTGATGAAGTAGTGGTAAAACCAAGACGTAATTTGTGCGAACGCTCAATGTAATCAGTGTCAATGAAGAAGCATTTTCACTTGGCAGATGCAGGTCGAATTTCTCTATTCGTGATGGTGTCAATGAGGGATAAGTAGTGGTTGAGAGACGGTCGTTATTTTGTTGATTTGCGTCTGGGGAATGTTGGCGAGGTTTTTCTATCGAGTACCGAATTCATCAATTTGGACCCGAGCTTCCTTTGAAGCATAAGTCATATCCTTTGTAAAAATAGAAGCCTGTGGGCGTATCCGAACGGACTGAGATGAAGTAGTTTTACGAGTTACTTGTCTGGAACTTAGAAGCTGAAAGCATTGGCAGCGTGAGTGGAAGATCATTTCACCGATGTGAGGTTGAGAATGAAGGGAGGGGAGGGCGGATCGCGATGCTAATAGCCAATTAATTCTGTGCTGAGTTGAAATTGTCAGTTTGCTATTTCCTTGTACTTCATAATCAGGTAGGGCGTCACACTAACATTGTGGCCCATCACCCATTCATCTAAGAGCGGTGCCACAAATTTAGCTCAGATGAGTGAAATATCGGTAACCATAAGTTGTTTTCTTGTCTTAAAGTGCAATTTGAATGAATTCTAACCTAACCTGTGCACCTCATATTTGCAAACCACAGATGGAGAATCTGAAGAGCCTTTTACGAACCGAGGGAGCAACGTTAACCCGGTTTGAGCGACCGCTGCCCTTTCCTGTGGACCCAAATTTCTTGATCGCCACCGTTGATGCTGATTCCGCGATGCTCTTTAAGGTAAGCAAGAAGTGCTCATGTAAGGAGGGAGTTTAAACATGCGATTGATAACAGTTTTTCACATTTGCCGTTGTGGTAAGATTGTTGTAGATTGAAACGCTGAATTGGGTAGATAACTGCTCTTGTGATATACGTGGCCTTATTTGTCCGTGGCCATTATAAGCAGTGAAGTATTGGTAAGTGAATGGCAAATCCCTGCTGATTGGTAGGAGTAGTTTATGAAATTGATAGATGGATGGTGGATTTGAGTTGAATTCTGTAGTGCTGTTGATATGATGCAACATCCGTTTTGAGACCTATTCGTCCAAGTGGACAGATCGATGGTGCGAGTGCACATGTGCGTTGGTGGCGTTTGACGTTTGTCACGAGGGGAGGTGTGGTTTGGAATGTCATGATGACGGGATTGAGCAGTTATCGTTCATACTTCTGGACAACTTCTCCACATGGGT